CAGCATAAATTTGTTCCAAGAGATATAGTCCGTTTTACTATATACCTCAATTCCTAAAAATCACTATATTATGCAAAAATTGCACAAACAAGGACTTATGAGGGAAATGTAGTTAGGGACACAAAACCTCAAACCTTTGTCAGTGATACACACACACACACACACACACACACACACGCACACACACTAGAAACCTAATAAATGGTTAGGAAACATAAATATGGCACCTCACCTTGAAAAAACCCTGAAATGTACTTATAGATATAGGCATTTAAAAGACTGTAGCTTTTTAGTTAATCATGGGTGCTTGAAAGATGGCGATTTGAAATCAGAAGGAAAGGTATGACACAGATGCAGGGGGGTGTAGCTAATAACTTGCAGCGAACTGAGGTAGCTGGTAGATATTCCAGGTATGTACATGTGTCCATTTTGTGTGCCCTTCTGGGTTCAGTACAACCGTGTATAGTATTCTGTGTTCACCTGGTGTTTCTTGCTGACAAAATCATGGATAACGCAAAGATGAAATTCATTTATGCTCAAATTGCTTCCTAATATATCAATGGCATCACAATAAATTCATGTTTTTAAAACAAGTATTAATAGCACAACTAACTGTATGGGTATTCACATTCAAACAGCTAATGCCAACTGGATACTGCAGTTATTTCCCATTCCTCAAATGTCTTGAGCTCAATGAAATCACAAGATTTTGAAGAATCACAGACTGTCTAATAGAAAACAGCCACAATTCCTAAGTAGATTGGTATAATTCACATGGCCAAACCCTAGAAAATGTAGGGGTCTGCATGCCTCCATGAAACTACAATCTTCTTCATAAAATCACTGCCTTTGAAGTAACAAAACATAAATAGCACTGGTAAATATGGCATTTGATCAAATCTAGTTTTTGCTCAGGAATACAGGATCTTCTGTCATCATGAGCATTATCTCACATATCCCCAAGACCTTCAGCAGCTATATTATGACATCCAAAGCACAAAGCCAACAAAATGGCGTAGCCAAATTCACAAACCTTAGCATTTTTTCCTGCGTCTGGTGCTAGTTTCTAGGTTGATGGCATAACAATCTTGTAGCAAAAACAGTGTTCACCAACAGACTTCATTTCACCTGGTTTTAATTAAGAACATTTAACCTTTAGCAGAAATGTCTGAACCTCTATTTTATCAGGTATTACCTGTTCCACAGGCTAAGCTCTCAGCTTAGTACTTCATGCGAAGTAGGAGCATCCTAAATATTTGTTGAACAAACATTAGTTGAACCCACTTGTTTTGTTTTACTATTCTGCCCCATAATTTTATTCCCAGAATATTATATTCCATTTTCAAAAGCAACATATTCACTTTTTTAAAAGATTATGTTTGTTTGCTTTTAATTACTATAAAATTAGAAAATAATTGCTGTAATAAAAATTGAGAGAGTCCAGAGCTATCTCAGAGATACTCATTTTCAATGGTTCTGTGTAACATTCTAGAAATTTTCTTTGCACATATACAGCATAAGTATAAATCATACGTTGTAAATAAGCCCATACTTTACCTATTCTCAGTAACTTACTCTTTTTCTAAATGTTATCACTTAACCATTTTTTCATTATCAGTATATATATTTATACATCTTTTGTTTTAATGGCTATATAATATTCCAATATATAAGCCTTCTAAATTATTTAACAAGCCCATATCAATAGTCAAGTAAGTTGCTTCCAAGTTTCTATTATAAATGATGCTATATGCAATAACCTTTTACATATATCTTTGTACACTAAGATGAATATATTTGTAGAATATACTCTTAGCAGTAGCACTGCAGACATAAATGTGTGAGCATTTATTTTGATGTCAGATTGCCCTCAGGAAAGGATATGAGAGTACATTTTACCACATGCCATCATTAGATGTTTTTTAACTTCATCTTTGTCAATTTGATAAATGAAAAATAGTATCTTATTTTAATTTCTACCTCCTTAATTATAAATGAAGCTACGTATTTTTCAAATTTTTATTTTTTCTGAAAAATATCTGTTCATATTGATTTTTTCCCATCTTTTTCTTGTTGACTTATCAGTGATCCCTAAATATTAATGATATCAATCCTTCTTCTGTCAAATACATTGCAATTATTCTCCCCCACTTGGGTATTTGTTCATTGATTCTTATCATGGTGATTTTGTCATGCAAAAGCTTTCAGTTTTTATGAAGTCAAATAATTAATCTTTTCTTTTATGGTCACTAGGTTGAGAGTTATGCATAGAAAGGGTTCCTCTGCCCCAAGATTAAATAATTATCTACCCATGTTTTTGCCTTAAAATAATAATAAATAATTGGTAATTTTTACTGAATGTGTACTTCAGGCCAGGCACTGCTCTAAGTACCTCACATACACTATTGTATTTATCTTCACAACAACTCTAGTAGGTGAGTAGTATCATTACCTCTAAGATACAGATGAGGATTCTATACCTCCTTGTGAGATCTAAACTCATTTGCGAATGCATATCTGGTATGTGGCAGTGCCAAGATTTCAACTCAGATTAGCAAATTCATCAACTACAGGCTACATCTACTGACTCTCTCTCCACAAAGATAAATGGGAGTTCATACTCTTTTACAATCCTCTACCTATTCTACCTTCCCCTCTTTATATCTGTTATATAAACCCTTTATTCAATATTAATTTTAGAGCCTTTACATTCTCTTCTATTTTCACAGCATGCAGTTATCCAGACCTTACTTAGTCTATGTTTAAATAGATTCCATATGCCCTGTCAATCCTTTCCTATTTCTGCTTCTTCATTCCCAAGTTCTTTCTGTTTATCACTTAGATGATTAATTTTACTCAGGAGGCAATTTTTCAGAGACGAGGTCCTTGAACGTTTGAGAATATTGGTTGTTATGTTTATGCATAAATAAGAGCTTGAGCAGGTATCAAATCTGTGGATCACACTATTCCCTGCCTACACACATTCCACCAACATTCTAGGGACACTATTCAACTGCCTCCTGCTTTGGCTATTACCATGATGTCAGAAGCCAGTCTCATTCTCCTCCTTTTGGTGACTTGCTTTTTCTGTCTGGATGCTTGGGGATTCTTTTTCTTTAATCTTGAAGCACAACTAACTTTACTTACTTGATATTGATAATCTTACTTGATATTGATATACTTGCTTGATATTGATAATCTTGTTTCAATTTTTTTAGAACTCTGTTCTTTGAATCTGCAGATTACTAATGCCTTTAATCTCTGAAGGTATTTTCCCCATTATCTATCTGAAATTGTTGTCCATTTCTTCTACTCTCTATATCAGGCACACCAATAACACATATGTTGGATCTTCTCTGCCTGTATTATCTACGTATTATACAGAATTCTTAGTTGAAAGTCTATGGCATAAGCCTAACTTGAAATAGTTTAGATAAAAATAATTTATTGGAAAGACAATGTAGTAACTCATATAACTCTTGGAAATGTACAAAGTGTAACTGGGCCTCAGGGATAACTGGAACCACAGACTTGAACACCACCAAGACTGCTTATCTCAACTAAGGCTATTTTTCTCTTGTCACTTATTTCTGCTTCAATGTGTTGGCTTGGTTGTCACTATCACAGGTAGACCAACTTCTCCTACAAGGCACAGAACATGGCTGCCACCAGCTATGAAGCCTCACATCCTGTGACTGACCACCAGGGAGGGATTGCTTTGCTTTCCTTAATTCCAATTTTTAAAAATTCTATGTTCCCCTACAATTTCTTTAAGTGAATGCAGATGTATTTTTCTTGAATTTCTGTTTTCTGAAATAATTCTTAATCTGAAACATACTTCATTCCGCATGCTTAGAGTCAAGCAGTTTAACCAGTTTTGGTTTGCTAACTTATTAGTTATTCATTTCTGTTCATTTGATTCAGTTAACTGCTGAATAACTTACTGCCATTTCTTTTCTTCCTCTCCACTTCACTGTAGGTTAGAAATTAAAAGATACTGTCCTCTTGCCTCTCTTTCCTCTCTCTTTCTCTCTCTCTCCATTTTGAGATATTGTACTGGACTCCTTGCAGATTTTCCTGGTTTTCCCATGGCCTGTCCCAACTCTAAAACCTTACATGATGGGGCACTCATGGCCCCCACTTTCAGTGAAATCTGTACTCTGTTTACAATCTGAAGAAGTGTATAACAGATTTTAGCATCCTCTTTTGGTTTTATCCATATTTCATTATACTCTTAGATTCTAGTCCGCAGCTAGGAACTGAGCCATTCCTAGTTTCATGGATTTTTTTTTCTTTGCTTTTTGTTCTTTTTGTTGATTCTGAATTAGTTTCATAAAAGGGAATATGGTTAACATGCCTTTACTTTTCTGAGTATCTTCTGAATTCCTCGAAGTAATAGATACTATTAAAATTCTACTTTGGAAAACTTGAAATTCATTCACTTATCAAATATGCATGGGATATTAACTATGTGCAAGGCACTTTGGGAGGCACTGAAGATACAGCAATGTAGAAGGCAAAAATAGTTCCTACCCTCTTGGAGCTTACAGTATAATGTGGAAGACAGACTATCACTATTTTTAAAAATCACAGGAATAGCAGATCAATCAGTAAGTAAAGGGGTAGCTGTTTAAGTAGAGATTAGAATACCCAAGAGTTATGGATTAGAGTATTTTGGCTAAAGAATCTCTGAGTTGCTTCTCAGTTCAAGGAGAGACATAAGTCTCCTTGAAGCTCACTTTTTATTTTGGGAAGAATCACTTAAGTTGCCTCCCATAGATTGCAAAAATAAGTAAGTACCTGTATCTGGGTAAATAGGGCCTTCTTTGGGCATACAACCTAGCAATAACTATCTTTTTTCTTGGGGTATAAAGCCCAAAGTCCTTCTAGAAGTATTCCTTGGGATTCAAAGTTAGCTGTTGGAGTAAACCTAACATTGCCCTGACCAAAATCTTCTGGCAAAAAAGGATATATATAAATGGCACCAAAAGAATACTCACTAGGGATGATTGGGACTCAAGATGGCGCTGTGAGAACAACCCAGGATTGGAGTTCTCGTTGTGTCGGCGGAGAGGTGAGTCTGAGCGGCATTTCCAGACTGATCTTTGTTGCCCACGGAACGGGGAAATTCCCAAGTGAAGAGGAGACGCGGGACGCCAGGCAGATATTCCGCCTGGCAAAGCCGGCAGCCGGGGTGGCGGCGGCCGGCCCTACCCAGTGCTCCCCACAGGGCGCATTTGTCCGGGTTCCCCGTTGAACCGGCAACCGGAGACGTGAGAGGGCTGGACTTGAGACTGAGCTAGACTTGGACAGTGGGCCAGCCCAGGGGATTGCAGGAACAGAGCGTTAGGATTGGCCCAGTGGGACGAACAAAACCGCGATTTCAAACAAGCCCCGAGCAGACGGCCTGAGACGCTCTGAGGGGGAGGGGCGGCTACCATTACCGAGGCAACCCGCCCCAACTGAGATACACGCCCATTGCTGACGCAGCCAGCCGTTGCCGAGGCAACCCGTCCCTACTGAGATACACGCCCACTGCTGATGCAGCCAGCCGTTGCCGAGGCAACCCGTCCCTACTGAAATACACGCCCACTGCTGACGCAGCCTGCCGTTGCCGAGGCAACCCGCTACAACAGACAGACTCCACCGCAGGGCGTGGCGGAGAACAGCAGAACAGCTGAGCCAGGGTGAGCCTCACAACAGCAGGGCGGAGCCTCGGCAGGCAAACAGTGGCTAGTCTGCATCCTAGCTGGGCAGGACCTCAACGGACATCCAAAAATAAAGCCAAAACCCCTCAACACAGAGCATTTGAGAAAAAAAAGGGTTTTTTTAATGAGCTCTGTTGCAGCAGAATCAAACATAGCAGCCTAACAGCCCTGAATGAACAACACAGCTCACAGCTCAGCAATTAAACCCCTATAAAGTACAAACTGTCTCCTCAAGCAGCTCCCTGACCCCTCAATATCCAAAAGCCTGACATTAGGCAGGCACCATCCTGGGACAAAGATAGCAGAAAAAGAAACTGGTAGCATTCCTCGCTGTGCCACAGCTGCTAGAGGTGCACCCCAGACAAGCAGGGTCTGGAGCGGACCTCAGCACTCATACAGCGAAGGGGCTAGACTGGTAGAAGGAAAACCAAGCAACAGAAATACTTCATCATCAACATTCAGGGTGTCCACTCAGAGACCCAATCGAAAAGTCAGCAACTACGCAGACGACCAGCGGACAAATCCACAAAGATGGGAAGAAACCAGCGCAAAAAGGAGGAAAACACCCGAAACCAGAACACCTCGCCTCCTAGAAAGGACCAAAACTCCTCACCAGCAAGGGAACAAAGCTGGACGGAGAATGACTGTGACGAAATGACGGAATTAGACTTCAGAAGATGGATAATGAGAAACTTTGGTGAGCTAAAAGATCATGTATTAAATCAATGCAAAGAAACTAAGAACCTTGAGAAAAGATTTGAAAAAAGATTTGAGGAAATGATAACAAGAATGGATAACTTAGAGAGGAATATGAATGAATTAAAGGAGCTGAGAAACACAATACGAGAACTTCGCGAAGCATGCACAAGTTTCAATAGCCGAATTGACCAAGCAGAAGAAAGAATATCTGAAGTCGAAGACCAACTCAATGAAATAAAACGAGAAACCAAGATTAGAGAAAAAAACTCAAAAAGGAATGAACAAAGTCTCCAAGAAATGTGGAACTATGTGAAAAGACCTAACCTACGTTTGATAGGTGTACCAGAAGGGGACGAAGAGAATGTATCCGAGCTGGAAAATACTCTTCAGGACATCATCCAGGAAAATTTCCCCCACCTAGCAAGACAGGCCAACACTCAATTGCAGGAAATTCAGAGAACACCACAAAGATATTCCGCAAGAAGAGCAACCCCAAGGCACATAATCGTCAGATTCAATAGGGTTGAAATAAAGGAGAGAATACTAAGGGCAGCCAGAGAGAAAGGTCGGGTCACCCACAAAGGGAAACCCATCAGACTCACAGCAGATCTCTCGGCAGAAACACTACAAGCCAGAAGAGAGTGGGGGCCAATATTCAACATTCTTAAAGAAAAGAACTTTCAAGCCAGAATTTCATATCCAGCCAAACTGAGTTTCAGAAGTGAAGGAAAAATAAAATCCTTTGCGAACAAGCAAGTACTCAGAGATTTTGTCACCACCAGGCCTGCTTTACAAGAGCTCCTAAAAGAGGCACTACACATAGAAAGGATCAACCAGTACCAGCCATTCCAAAATCACACTGAATGCTAAAGAGCATCAACATAATGAAGAATCTACAACAACTAACAGGCAAAACAGCCACTTAGCATCAAAATGGCAGTATCAAATTCACACATAACAATATTAACCCTAAATGTAAATAGACTAAATGCACCAATCAAAAGACACAGACTGGCAAATTGGATAAAAAGCCAAAACCCATCAGTGTGCTGTATCCAGGAAACCCATCTCACATGCAAGGATACACAAAGGCTCAAAATAAAGGGATGGAGGAAGATTTACCAAGCAAATGGAGAGCAAAAAAAAGCAGGAGTTGCAATTCTCATCTCTGATAAAATAGACTTTAAAGCAACAAAGATCAAAAGAGACAAAGAAGGCCATTACATAATGGTAAAAGGATCGATACAACAAGAAGAGCTAACGATCCTAAACATATATGGACCCAATGCAGGAGCACCCAGATACATAAGGCAAGTTCTTAAGGACTTACAAAAGGACTTAGACTCCCACACAATAATAGTGGGAGACTTTAACACTCCACTGTCAGTACTAGACAGATCTACCAGACAAAAAATCAACAAGGATATCCAGGGCTTGAACTCAGACCTGGAGCAAACAAACCTGATAGACATTTACAGAACTCTCCACCCCAAATCCACAGAATACACATTCTTCTCAGCACCACATCACACCTACTCTAAAACTGACCACATAATTGGAAGTAAAGCACTGCTCAACAAATGCAAAACAACTGAAATCATAATAAACAGCCTCTCAGACCACAGTGCAATCAAGTTAGAACTCAGAATTCAGAAACAGACCCAGAACCGCACAGCTTCATGGAAACTGAACAACTGGCTCTTGAATGTTGACTGGGTAAACAACGAAATGAAGGCAGAAATAAAGAAGTTCTTCGAAACCAATGAGAACGAAGACACAACATGCCAGAACCTCTGGGACACATTTAAAGCAGTCTCTAGAGGAAAGTATATAGCAATAAGTGCCCATATGAGGAGAATGGAGAGATCCAAAATTGACACCCTATCGTCAAAATTGAAAGAGCAGAGGAGCAAGATCAAAAAAACTCAAAACCCAGCAGAAGACAAGAAATTACTAAGATCAGAGCTGAGCTGAAGGAGATTGAGACACGAAAAACCCTTCAAAAAATCAATAAATCCAAGAGCTGGTTTTTTGAAAAGATCAACAAAATAGACAGACCACTAGCCAGATTGATTAAAAAGAAAATAGAGAACAACCAAATAGATGCAATAAAAAATGATAAAGGGGAAATCACGACAGATTCCACAGAAATTCAAACCATCATCAGAGAATATTACAAACAACTCTATGTGCATAAACTAGTAAACCTGGAAGAAATGGACAAATTCCTGGATTCCTGTGTCCTCTCAAGCCTAAACCAGGAGGAAGCTGAAACTATGAATAGACCAATAACAAGGACTGAAGTTGAGGCAGCAATTAAGAGCCTACCACACAAAAAAAGCCCAGGTCCAGACGGGTTCACAGCCGAATTTTACCAGACACACAAGGAAGAGCTGGCACCATTTCTTCTAAAACTATTTCAAACAATCCAAAAAGAGGGAATCCTTCCCAAATCATTTTATGAGACCAACATCATCCTGATACCAAAACCCGGCAGAGACCCAACGAGAAAAGAAAACTTCAGGCCAATATCCATGATGAACATAGATGCAAAAATCTTCAATAAAATATTGGCAAGCCGATTGCAACAGCAAATCAAAAAACTTATTCATCATGATCAAGTAGGATTCATCCCGGGGATGCAAGGCTGGTTCAACATATGCAAGTCTATCAATGTAATTCACCACATAAACAGAACCAAAAACAAAAACCACATGATTATCTCAATTGATGCAGAGAAGGCATTTGACAAAATTCAACAGCCCTTTATGCTAAAAACCCTCAATAAATTCGGTATCGATGGAATGTATCTCAAAGTAATAAAAGCTATTTATGACAAACCAACAGCCAATATCATACTGAATGGGCAAAAACTGGAAGCATTCCCTTTGAAATCTGGCACTAGACAAGGATGCCCTCTTTCACCACTCCTATTCAATATAGTACTGGAAGTTCTAGCCAGAGCAATCAGGCAAGAAAAAGAAATAAAGGGTATTCAAATAGGAAAGGTGGAAGCCAAATTGTCTCTATTTGCAGACGACATGATAGTATACCTAGAAGACCCCATTGCCTCAGCCCAAAAACTCCTGAAACTGATAAGCAACTTCAGCAAAGTCTCAGGATATAAAATCAATGTGCAAAAATCACAAGCATTCGTCTACACCAATAACAGACTTAAAGAAAGCCAAATCAAGAGCGAACTGCCATTCGCAATTGCTACAAAAAGAATAAAATACCTTGGAATACAACTCACAAGGAACGTAAGAGACCTCTTCAAGGAGAACTACAAACCACTGCTCAACGAAATCAGAGAGGACACAAACAGATGGAGAAACATTCCATGTTCATGGTTAGGAAGAATTAATATCGTGAAAATGGCTATACTGCCCAAAGTAATTTACAGAATCAATGCTATCCCCATCAAGCTACCATCGACTTTCTTCACAGAACTGGAAAAAACCACCATGAACTTCATATGGAACCAAAAGAGAGCCCGCATAGCCAAGTCAATTCTAAGCAAAAAGAACACAGCGGGGGGCATCACACTACCGGATTTCAAACTATACTACAAGGCTACAGTAATCAAAACAGCATGGTACTGGTACAAAAACAGAGATATAGACCAATGGAACAAAACAGAGGCACCGGAGGCAACACAACATACATACAACTATACAATCTTCGATAAACCTGACAAAAACAAGCAATGGGGAAAGGATTCCCTGTTTAACAAATGGTGTTGGGAAAACTGGCTAGCCATGTGCAGAAAGCAGAAACTGGACCCCTTCCTGACACCTTACACTAAAATTAACTCCAGATGGATTAAAGACTTAAACATAAGACCTGGCACCATAAAAACCCTAGAAGAAAATCTAGGCAAAACTATCCAGGACATAGGAGTAGGCAAGGACTTCATGAACAAAACACCAAAAGCATTGGCAACAAAAGCCAAAATAGACAAATGGGACCTAATGAAACTCCACAGCTTCTGCACGGCAAAAGAAACAGTCACTAGAGTGGATCGGCAACCAACAGAATGGGAAAAAAATTTTGCAGTTTACCCATCTGACAAAGGGCTGATATCCAGAATTTACAAAGAACTCAAACAGATTTACAGGAAAAAAACAAACAAGCCCATTCAAAAGTGGGCAAAGGATATGAACAGACACTTTACGAAAGAAGACATATATGAGGCCAACAATCATATGAAAAAATGCTCATCGTCACTGATCATCAGAGAGATGCAAATCAAAACCACATTGAGATACCATCTCACGCCAGTTAGAATGGCGATCATTAAAAAATCTGGAGACAACAGATGCTGGAGAGGATGTGGAGAAAAAGGAACACTTTTACACTGTTGGTGGGAGTGTAAATTAGTTCAACCATTGTGGAAGACGGTGTGGCGATTCCTCAAGGCCTTAGAAATAGAAATTCCATTTGACCCAGCAATCCCATTACTGGGTATATATCCAAAAGACTATAAATCGTTCTACTATAAGGACACATGTACACGAATGTTCATTGCAGCACTGTTTACAATAGCAAAGACCTGGAATCAACCCAAATGCCCATTGATAATAGACTGGATTGGAAAAATGTGGCACATATACACCATGGAATATTATGCAGCAATCAGAAATGATGAGTTTGTGCCGTTTGTAGGAACATGGATGAATCTGGAGAACATCATCCTCAGCAAACTGACAGAAGAACAGAAAATGAAACACCGCATATTCTCACTCATAGGTGGGTGATGAAAAATGAGAACACATGGACACAGAAAGGGGAGTACTAAACACTGGGGTCTATTGGGGGGGAAAGGGGAGGGCCAGTGGGAGGGGGAGGTGGGGACGGATAG